GGTAGTAACATAGAGGTAACTCTAAGACCACTGGGTCCCGAAGAAAATCATTATTATTTTTGGCTCACTCAGTACCAGAACAACGGTCCCAAGCAGTCCCAAGCTATTTCACGCACCCCTGCATTTTCTGCATGAATCCACACACCCCTGATGTTATCTGTCAAACTTTCATAGCGAATCAAAACAAACATAGTGTAGTAATAGAATTTCAACTAGAATAGGGTACGTTAATCGTTTGCTTGGGACCAATAGGCTACTAAAGTGGTGAGCCAATTTAAAATCGTTAGTTTCGTATTGATTGTTGGTAGTAATGCACACAAAGCAACAGTCAATTCAGGTATAAACCAACTGTCGCGAGAAGGCTGTACTATTTGGAAGCCTGATCTCAACTATACAGGGTGAATGTCGGCTTCTGCACCCATTGACTGTTTTCGGCAATTCAAATTCAAATGTTAATTTTACTGTATTATCTCATCAAAACACTTCTTTGAATGCATTCAAACGATTCCTTAGTCTATCAGCTTCAATAATATTTAATTTTTACGACTGAGCAATCCAGCCCGAATTTTCTTTGATTGAAATATACACACCAAATTTAAATCGCTGAAAATCAGCTAAATTTTGCAGATTTTAGACTTGATGAAAGATCAGCAAACGTTCCAGCAAAATAATGCTACTGAATTTTTCAGCAATTCCAACTTCTGTCAAAATCACAACCTTTTACTGAAAATCAGCAATATTTTTTTACTGATCTTTCAGAAATTAAAAATTTTGACATTTGGCAGCATTTTGCTTATTAAACAATTAAATTCAGTAAATCGAATTTGATTTTTTTTTTACGCCAGCTTCTGTAAATATACGCATAATAAAGATAAAATCGCCAGACTCCTTTCCAAGTATCGTTTATTAAATATAACCAGTGTCCGAGGCAGTGTCCTTACCTACATAATTTTATCTTTTTGTAGTTTTTTTTAGCTCTTCCTCCTCCTGTGGTTTGAATGGTGGTGTACGAATGCAAAAGTACTTGTGACTGTGATGCTAACAGTTTGACAGCTCTTTTACTGGGTGTTAGTTTATGTTAGCTGATGTTTTCAGTAAAAATATCGTTTGCTGTTTTTCAGTAAAGCATTGCATTGCTGGTCATGATCCAGGAATCCGTTTTACTGATATTGAAAACTTAAATTTGGTGTGTACGAAGACTACGAAGTACGAAATACGGTTGATTTTGAGTTGCCGATAATAGAACAGCTGTATAACACAAATAGAAAGGTTACCGAAGAATAAAATGTTGTCGACAATAATCACATTCGCCTGAGAAATTCGGTACAAAGGCTTTTAAATAGTTTTGGACAATTATGTCTATTGGACTAGATAGAAAAGCAAGCAACAAATAAATGTATACAAACAAAAATGTAATATGTATGCGTGACTCTGAGAAAATGCTTAACGAAATGGGGACGCTGCCTAGATCAACTAGAATACGTAAATTCCCGTAAGTCTCACAATAATATAAATCTAGATAGAGCTGGAATTAGGGCGTAACATCTTTTGTAACCAATGACTTCTCTCGTTGATTTCTAAGAACTCAAGGCACGCCTACACAAACCAACATATCCTGCGGGTAGGGGATGTCTTCCTCTACTCGATGGTGATATCGATTTGCCAGGGCGAGTCATGACTTTCGAGAAATTATCGAGAGAATTCATTGTTTACAAATGCTGTTATGCCCTAATTCCAGCTCTATCTAGAAATAAACCTTATAATGATCCAGGATCTCCACACTGTAGTGCCTTATTCGTGGTAAGCGAAGAATTCTACAAAATATTGATATTTTTGTTGATATGATGATGATAGTGGTTTACCACCCATTGTAGCACGGAAACTAAGTCCGACAGCAGTGGGCTCTCTTCTCTGTTTGTCTTGGTCAAGCTTAATAACCTCTGATTGTCCTCAACATGTCACTGTATGAAGGGCCAAAAACGGATTGGGTAGATCGATAGGCAAAGTCGCAAACATGAAGATGCCCCAATAAGTGGGGAGAAGAGCCCGCCCTTTATCCACGAAATGTTATCAACCGGGAGTTGGCATTCTCACTCTCCCCGTCCAAATCGCTTCAATCGGGTGCCCTGTTGGACCGTCCCTTCCCTTTTATACATGTATTTCAATGTATAGGGGAAATGGCTCTAATGTTGGCCTATGGATCTAAAATTGCGCCCATCGGTAAAAATCTGCTATTTATCAATTGTATCTACACAGACAAACAGACGTAACACTTTGAAAAAGTTTTTCCTGAAAACATAGTACCTCAAAACATAGGACCTCAGTAACGACATCTCTCGGGCTTCTCGCGGAAAACAAGCTTGCTCGCTACCTCGCAAACAATATTTCATACAAGTTTTATAAAATGTATGGAAACGTCAAAGCGATCCGATGCCAGCGCTTCGGCGAGTAGTTCGCGGAGCTTATTGTATTCAAATCAACCGTTAAATGCGTGAACGAAGATACACAATGAAGAGTTACGTCTGTTTGTCTGTGGTATCTAGATGAACGCGTCATTGGATATTTTTGGGTGCTATTGAAAATTTAGTCGATTGCTGAATTTATGTATGGGCCCAAATTAGGGACACTTAGGCCGACATTACATACATTTCCCCTATACGCGTTGATTGTTATGATTCTTGTCAATATTTTTTACATTTCGATGAGGATCGTGCTACTTATTTTACCTTTTGTGTGATACTTATCATCACCGGAACCAATATTGAATCGTAGACCAGGTCCATCAACAATACACTCGTTCCGAGACGGGGCTCGGTGATAAAGCCATCTTCTTCTTCTTCATCATGTTCGCTCACCACTGGAACAATCTATTTGTGGTACCCGAAGAATTCTACAAAATATTGATATTTTTTTATATATTTATTTTTTTGACTATGAAAATTTATCTAATGGAAATTTGGAATTTAACTTAGTCTTGATTTGTAACCCTGAGAACATAAACACAAACTTTGGTCCATCCAAATCTTCACATCTATGAAACTTTACAAATTATAAACACTCTAGAATTTAAAAAATAATATTATTATTATTATTATATTATTTTTCTTAGCCTAATATCTCACAAATTCATCGGAGCTCATAAATATTGAACATTTATATGCATTTAGACATACTTTCATGTCCTCAATTGAAATGATTTCACGTAGAGTGTGAAATTGTAATTTTATCTATGTATGTTTCACCATAAATTAATACATTTTTCATGATTGTAAATGCTCCAAAAAAGTCCAAAAATGGCACATTACTCAACATGTATTCACTTATTAGGTATTTTCCGGATTCATATAAATAAATTCGTAACTTGGTTAAAACTCCAAGTCATAAATGTAATCTCCGGGATTTCTGAAATAGACTCTCCACTAATCAATAGCAAAAATTTAATGAGTTCGATAGTAGGGGCATGGAATATTTGTTTTTTGTTAATTACTTTATTTGTACAGCTCAATCGAATAAACTTTACAGAGCCAAGTAATCCTTTGCGTTATACATGATTATTGTTTAAAATTTAAAATTAAGGGATTTGAACCGATTACTCGCGGTTTTCTCGAGGTTAGTGGACATGGAATAATATTAATCAGTATTAGCTGGATTCTTCGAAAAATGACATAACAATCAAGCTAAACCAAAAACTACAATGGACAGCCGTATGGCGTTGTACGCAATGGTGACGTAGGACTGAGTGGTCTTATATAAAAAATATGATATATGTTACCTGCAGCAGGAGCTTGTGTTTTGTGTAGGAATAGGAATTTGAGCGGAGTTCTCTCTGTTCATACTCTTTAGTATGACGCGCTTGACATAGATGGCCCACAGAAACTCACGAAGAGCTACTGATTCCGATCAATAGCGGTGCGGCTTCTTCCTCCTTCTATGGATGCTCATGTGGACTGCAGTTTGCTGCTTGCAGGCAGCCTTTCGTTGTGTACTGGAGAACAATGTTCAACACCACGCGCCGAAAGCACTGCTGCTGCTGCTGATAATGCCAACGAGCTGACACCACCACACACGGTGATTGGAACTGAGGCCGTTCGAGGCCATCCTTGATAGCTAGCTGCTTGCGGGGAGCCTCTCGGTGTGTACTGAAGAACACCACCACTCACCACGCAGTGATTGAATAAACACCGTTTGATGAGAGCGGATGAAAGTCAACTTTGAAATCTGTGTTAGGAAAATCGCTTTTCGTAGGCAATCCGTAATAATATTAATTATCATACCAACAGTTGCACATTCGTGCAATTTTAAATAGTGACATTTTGAAAAATGATAAAGTCTTAAATTTAAAAGATGCGTCGAAATATTTCTAATCGACTGGTGATAAGATTATTGAAATTGGTTCAGGGGCAGCTGAGTTATTAACGTTCAAAATCTTTCATAATTTTGTTACATGTTCCATTTTTGGTTTTCACAAAGCGTACCCCCATATAGAAATCACAGACGTAGTCCTACGTCAAAAAATCATTCCATGACAGCCAACAACAACAATAACTTACCATCCAAATGCAAACCCATGGTATGCCGGTTTTGTCGATTGGCTCATTACACCAAAGAACGTAGCGAACGCAGCAGCAATAATAAAAAAAATAACATCAACTGCAAGTCGTTCATCACCCACTACCCACCCATCTTTCCACCGTTGAAAACGGATAACATAAAAAACAACTTAAAGAATTAAAATATCGTTCACACTGCCCCATGCATTTTAAACTCGAAATAAGCAGTCCAAAGCAAATGGAAAATAAAAACAAAAACAAAACACGTAAAACCCAAGCAGTGTCCCGGCACCCCTACAATGACGTCATTGATGACGATCATCGCTGACTATGCTTTGCGATCGATTTCGGAAAGCTCAACCACCCGACGACGATCGTTCGCTAGGGAGAACTGAGAAGAGGTAGCATATGCTCTCCATGCTGTGTCGTCTCGAGCTGCAGTCTTGAATCGTCGGTCGTAAGCACAAGTCGGAAATTGCACTCTCAGGTATACTCTCGGAAGAGAACGATCAGATTTTGAGGTTTTAAGGAAACCTGTTGTGCAGTGAAACAAAAACACACTAGTGAAGGAAAGGTTGAAAGTTGTTCTACACAGTTTTGGAAATGAAGCAGTTGATCTTGCTTCTAACAGTGGCAGTGCTGATTGGCCACAGCCAGGCTCAGGGCAATCAGAAGTGTGCGGCGAACGGAGAATATGTAATTAAACATTGTTTTTTTGGTCTAGCGACTGTTGTAGCATTGAAAAGTGAAATTTCCTCTTTACACCTTGCAGTGCTTAACCCACAGTGAATGCTGTTCTGGTAGCTGTTTGAGTTTTTCGTACAAATGCGTTCCAGTGCCACCGGGTGCCAGCGTTGGAACGATATTCGTTCCAGCTCCGATTATAACAGATAATCGCTTCGGTGGTCCGGACGATGGAGGAGCAAGCATCACACAAAAAACCTGTGCCAAAAATGGCGAATATGTAAGTTGCCAGTGCCAAACCAATGGTTTTATGTAGTTATCCAACCTTTGCACCACCTGTGTGATCCATATATGAATAGCTTGTTGAATCATTTCATTTGAACGTAACCGATCTTCAGCCGTGTCGAATTGTTTCAGCCGAGTTTATCCACGTTGCGGTCGTTCTAGCCATTACTTATGCGGGCAATATAGAGTAAGGTGGGGCAAAAGTTCTGCCTTAGTTGAAAATATTAAAATATCGCAAAACTCCAAGCATTTTAAATCAAAATAATTCCATGTTCGGTTCGTTCGTGGCTAGAGCGATTATTTCGCGGGAGTGTTCAAAACGAAGTTTAGCAAAAGTTCAATTAAGAAATCGGACAAAAGTTCGCAAACTTAATGAAAGTTTTTGAGAAGCTTACACACTTAGCAATTATTACCAACTTCAGTAATTTTTACCGAACTTTCAACAGCTAAAACTTTGACCCTCATTTCAAAAGCCGTTTTACTAAATTTTAATTTTAAAACTGTGTTGCCATTGTGGTGAAGTTAACCTTGTTTTAAAGTCTAACTAACTAATTAAAATGGCAGATTTTTAACCGAACAGTTCAGCTGTTGAAAGGTCGGTAAAAATTACCGAAGTCGGTAAAACTTACCGAAGTCGGTGATCATTTCTAAGTTTGTGTCCAGATATTGTCCGAACTTGGCGAATAACTAATTCCACTCGAAAATAGTGGTTTTCCACAAACAATGTTTATGATTTTTGGCTCTAAAAGACAAGCGTGAAATGCGTTTTATTTTGCACGGGCTTCAAAAGCCTCAAAGCGAACTTTTGCCCCAACTTACTCTATTAAGAAGACAGCAAATAAATAATTTTCGTGAAACCGACGTAGATCGTTTTGAAGGCCACAACAGCCGCGCGCTTCTTTATTTCATGGTTCGATGTGTGGTGGATCCGCATTGTTCTGGGTTCTACGTAATCGCTATCGGCTCGATCAATCTGCGGAATTCTTTCACTCGCAAGGTTAGAGTGGTTCCCCCAACCAACCGGTACAATTACCTATTAGCTCCAGAGAACTGCTGAGTAGCCTCTATTTGTAGCAATCAACGAATTAACTATCAGCAGAGTAATTATCACCATGAATTTGTTTACATGGACTCATTGCCTGGTGAGCAATCAATACTCAAACAAACTGGCGATTACATTTTTCAAAAATTGGAGCAGATTGAATGTGTTATTCGTGGAAAGCTGATAACCGTGTGCTGTTTGTTTGTATTTCCTCCTCCTTTCCACCGTCTTTCAAGAGGGATGGGTCAAATGTGCAAACAGAAAAAAAATATGATTGATAGTGTTTTGACTTGCGTTCACTCTCCGTTTCACCTCAGTGTCTTACCCACGCCGAGTGTTGCTCGGGAAGTTGTTTAAGCTTCTCGTACAAGTGTGTCCCAACACAGCCTCCGGCATCGGGGACGTCCGGTATTCAACAGCAACCAGCAAGACCACAACAACCGACTACTGGCTCCAGCACGGTTGGAACAACCATAGATTTGAGCAATCGCGTCGGCGAAGGCGACCAAAGTACGGTACCGATCACGGCTGGAACCACTGCTCCGCCTAGAAAGTGTGCCGCCTTGGGTGAATATGTAAGTTTTTCGTGACTTTCTTCGAGCAAAAAAAATGCATGGTGCTTTGTAGTCTACCCAGTGCATGTGATAACATTTCAGCTGTATGCTTGCTATCTGTACGAATCGTCTGTTTTTAACTCTGCTTTGATATAAGTCTTATTTTTGTTTTGTTTATAAGCTGTGCGCATCCCTATTTCCATTTTGATTTCACTTTACATCCCACTTCTGCTCAGTAATTCTTGTATATACAACGCCCTCGTCCGGATGTGGAAAAGGGGTGCAGAATGTATGTTAAGTCAAAAGTAAACCTTCCATTAATTACCCATGACGTAATTTATAAATGATCCCACCAATCAACTTTACACTGAGGCAAATCAACATAAGAATTCCGTAAGGTAAAACTTATGAACCTAGACAATTTTGACTTCATAAGACACGACTATCGTAGTCAAGCATGGAAAATCATTTGCATTCATTTCGTGCATTCATTTACATTCATTTGTCTCTAACTTTTTTCATCAACAGAATTCCGCAAACTGATGCATGGAGCTTTTGTAGGCTTTGTTATTAGCTACAACTTTTGTTAAAAACTCAAATCCGTACGAACCAGAGCCAACAGAAGCCACTACTGTTTTTAAGTGAATGTATTTTACATTCACTGAAAAACAGTAACATGTTCTGCCCGCTCTAGTTCGTGATGCATAAAAGATACAGATTTGATTTCTGGGCAAAAGTTTTAGCTAATATCAAAACCTACAAAAGCTCTAAACATCATTTTGCGGAATGCTGTTGATGAAAAAAGTTAGAGGCAAATGAATGTAAATGAATGTATGAAATGAATGTAAATGATTTTCAATGCCTGATCGTAGTACATTGGGTGATTCTTATACGCCTTTAGTCTATCCGATTCCCCAAGCGTTGATAGACGTGAGCGAGGAATAACTTTTTTTTTAAGTTTGATAAACTGATTTATGAATTTCATTGCTTTGACTTATGCATTATGTTTCATAGATCAAACTTATGATTTCCAATATAAATCCTTATGGCGAAAAATCATAAGTGGTTCTTATGGAATTCTTAAGTTTATTTGCCTCAGTGTATGGCTCCTGTATGCTTTTAAATTAAAATATGGTCATATTTTATATACTAATTTATGTACAACTCATAGCTCATTAGATTTTTTTAGACGGGTGGATCTCTTAGGACAGGGGTCATTGTAAAAATATACCCATGGAGTGGCATGTTATGATATTAGAGATGTTTATACCACGAGATCCCAACCATATAGGATGTTACTTCCTTCTGCAAAGATATTTATGAATAGAAGATCTTCAAAACTATGGATAGTTTACGACATAATATACTCACTAGATGACGCTAAGATGAAAATGATCAAATTGAGCAAGCTGAGAAAAACGCTGTTGAAGATTTTTAGTTTCGTGGGCTCTTATGGATGGGACAACATAGTTTTGGTATTTTTCGCGACATTACATTTGCTGAACAAAGTAAGGACACTTTTCGTGTACATTGGAAAGTGATGGTACTTGACAATCGATTCCAATGCATAACTCATTTTCGCCAAAAATGCTAATGGGACTATTATGCCGCACAGGGCAGTTCCCGTCTTGAGCAAAGTTGATCATACAAGATCTATCCTGAGGTAAAGAGTTGACATTCATTGTGAATGGTGTGCCCTAACTTAACATATTGACTAGATAGAAGGTACACGTCTTCGGCAATTTTTTTTTTTTCACATGAACAAGACTTATTTTATGGTTAACATTTTAGTTCAGGATTCACTCATAAGGCAGCGCTAGTGTGACATTCATATTGAATTGTTTGCCCTGACCTAGCATATGTACTAGATAGAAGTTTACCGTCTTCGGTAAAGTTGTCCAGATTTACAAAACCTATCCTAAGGTAATGAGTTTAGTTCATAATTCAGACATCAGATGGCGCTAGTGTGACATTCATTTTCAATTGTCTACCCTTACTTAACACCTTGACTAGTTAGAAAGTTCCCGTCTTTGGAAAAGTTTTTCAGATGGCCAAAACCTATTTTATGGTAAAAAGTTCAGCTCAGAATTTACTCACCAGGCGGCGCTAGTATGCTATTCATTTTTCTTGGTTTTCCCTAACTTAACCTATGTACTAGATACAAGGCTTCCATATTCGTCAAAGTTGTTCAGATGTACAAGATAAACCCTAAGATAAAGTGTTTAGCTCAGAACTCGCTCATCAGGTGGCACTAGTGTGGTGTTCATTTGTAATTGTTTACCCTAACTGAACACATGAACTAGATAGAAGGATCCCATCAAGAGTAAAGTTGTTCAGATAGACAAGATCTATTCTAAGGTAAAGAGTTTAGGCTCAGAATTTACTCACCAGGCAACACTAGTGTGACATTCATTTTGAATTGTTTGCGCTGAGATGGACTAGATAGAAGGTTGCCGTCTTCAGCAAAGTTGTTCAGATGGACACGAATTATTTTGAGGTAAAAATTTCAGCACAGAATTCACTCATCAGCTGACGCTCGTGTAACATTAGTTTTGAATTGGTTGAACTAACTAAACATCTTGACTCGATAGAAAGCAAAGTTGATCAGATAGAATAAACCAATTCTATGGTAAGTAGTTTAGCCCAGAATTTACTCATCAGTTCGCATTGTTGCTTCACGTTGTTTCGAGATTATTTGTTTCACTTGATAGCTTGCCAAGATGCGCTATCCCGCTCGGTTCCTCTAGCTAACAGATACTTTGTCTTCGGCGTATTCACCTTTAATCCAACCTTCTCTGCTTCACGTTTCAGCCTAGTGTACTGCTCCGCCACGGTCTGAAACGTTCTTCCGACAATGTTAGCAAAGCAGATGAACTGGCTGGACTTGTTGAAGATCGTGCCCGCATGTTAAAGCCCGTACGTTTCATAACACCTTCTAGCGCAATGTTGAACAGAAGGCAGGAAAGACCATCGCATTGTAAAAGTCCTTTGCGAGTTTCAAACGATTCCGATAACGCACCCGATATCTTCACGCAGCACTTTACACCATCCATCGTAGCCCTGATCAGTCTGGTCAGCTTCCCAGGAAAACTGTTCTCGTCTATAATCTTCCATAGCTCTTCACGGTCAATAGTATCATAGGCAGCCTTGAAATCGATGAATAGGTGGTGCGTAGGGCCTTGATATTCACGACCCTTTTGGAGAATCTGCCGCAACGTAAAGATTTGGTCCGTTGTCGATCGTCCGTCCACAAAACCAGCTTGATAGCTTCCCACAAATCTGTTTGCTAGCGGCGATAAACGGCGAAAGATGATCTGGGAAAGCACTTTGTAGGCCGCGATCGCTCGATAATTCTCACATTCTAGTTTGTCATATTTTTTATATACTGGGCATATTACTCCCTCTTTCTACTCCTCCGGTAGCTGTTCTGTATTCCAGATCCTGACTATCAGTCGGTGCAGACAAGTGGCCAACTTATCCTGGCCTATTTTGATAAGTTCCGCTCCGATACCATCTTTCCCAGCTGCTTTGCTGTTCTTAAGCTGTCGGATAGCATCCTTAACTTCACCTATCGTGGGAGCTGGCATGTCTCCCTGATCCGCTGTACCGACGAAGCCATTCCTCCTGCCGCCTTGGACCTTCGCCTCTGCGCCATTCAGATGTTCATCGTAGTGCTGCTTCCAACCTTTCAATCACCTCACGTTCGTCCGTTAAGATACCCCCTTCCTTATCCCGACACATTTCGGCTCGTGGCACTAGCTGGTTAGAGAAAACAATTGAAAATGAATGTCACACTAGCGCTGCCTTGTGAGTGAATTCTGAACTAAACTCTTTACCATAAATTAGGTCTTGTCCATCTGAAAAACCGAAGTCGGGAATCCTCTGTCTAGTCAAGATATTAAGTTTGTCAAACAATTCAAAATGAATGTCACTCAAACGCAACCTGGTGAGTGAATTCAGAACTATTTTTTTTACCTGAGGACAGGTCTTGTCTATCTGAAAAACTTTGCTCAATGGGATGAACTAAATTATTTAACTTAGGATTGGTCTTGACCATCTGAACAACTTTACCGAAGATGGGACCTTCTTCCTAGTACATATGTCAGAATAAAGTACACAATTCAAAATCAATGTCACACTATCGCCACCTGGTGAGTGAATGCTGAGCTGAACTCTTTACGTCCTTCTGAACAACTTTTCCGAAGACGGGAACCTTCTATCTAGTCAAGAAGTTATTTTAGGGCAAACAGTTCAAAATTAATATCACACTAGCCCAACCTGGTGAGTGAATTTTGAACCAAACTTTTTACCTCAGGACAGGTCTTGTCCATCTGAACAACTTTGCTCAAGACGGGAACCAGCCATATGAGCAGGACCTGTATATAGCTTTATATAATGTGTATTTAGAAGGCGTAACTTGATCATTTTCGTTTTAACGGCATCTAGTGTTAGTAAGTTTTGTCATAAATTATGCCTAGTTGCATAAAAAACCTTGTATTTCTGAGCTTCTTGGCGGAACGAAGCAACATTCTATATGGTTGAGATTTCATGGTATAAACATCTCTAACATCAAAATGTGTCACTTCATGGGTATATTTTTACAATGACCCCTCCTCCGAGAGATGTGGCCCTCCAAAAAAAGACTGATAAGAATTAAAATAATATATAATAGGGGAAATGGCTCTAATGTTGGCCTATGGATCTAAGATTGGGCCCATCGCTTAAAATCTGCTATTTATCAATTTTATCTAGATGATTGTCGCTATTGAAAGTTTAGTCTATTACTGAATTTATGTATGGGCCCAAATTAGGGACATTTAGGCCGACATTACATCCATTTCCCCTATATTAAAATTTCAATTTTACCCCAAATTCCAATCGCTATATCTCAGCGCGTGATCGACGGATTTTTAAAATTTAAAATGTTTTACAAAGAAAATTTAATTGATTTTTAGAATGAATAAAACTAGAAGTCCACTGCGGAAAACATTCGCTGAGATAAGACAATTTGAATTTGGGAT